AGAATCGTGAAATGACATACACAATGAGGATGGTGAAATGGCATACACAAGGGAGTTATAAAATGGCATACACAAGAGAATCGTGAAATGGCATACATAAGAGGATGGTGAAATGGCATATACACGGGAGTTATAAAATGGCATACACAAGACTGTCGTGAAATGGCATATACACGGGAGTTATAAAATGCCATACACAAGTGAATCGTGAAATGGCATACACAAGAGGATCGTGAAATGGCATATACACGGGAGTTATAAAATGGCATACACAAGACTGTCGTGAAATGGCATATACACGGGAGTCATGAAATGGCATACACAAGAGGGTCGTGAAATGACATATAGTACAAGGGAGTCATGAAATGACATACACAACAGGATCGTGAAATGGCATACACAAGGGAGTTATAAAATGGCATACACAAGAGGATCGTGAAATGGCATACACAAGAGGATCGTGAAATGGCATACACAAGAGGATCGTGAAATGGCATATACACGGGAGTTATAAAATGGCATACACAAGACTGTCGTGAAATGGCATACACAAGAGGATCGTGAAATGGCATACACAAGAGGATCGTGAAATGGCATATGCACGGGAGTTATAAAATGGCATACACAAGAGAATCGTGAAATGGCATACACAAGAGGATCGTGAAATGGCATATACAAGGGAGTCATGAAATGACATACACAACAGGATCGTGAAATGGCATACACAAGGGAGTTATAAAATGGCATACACAAGAGAATCGTGAAATGACATACACAAGAGGATCGTGAAATGGCATATACACGGGAGTTATAAAATGGCATACACAAGACTGTCGTGAAATGGCATATACACGGGAGTCATGAAATGGCATACACAAGAGGATCGTGAAATGGAATATACACGGGAGTCATGAAATGGCATACACAAGACTGTCGTGAAATGGCATATACACGGGAGTCATGAAATGGCATACACAAGAGGGTCGTGAAATGACATATAGTACAAGGGAGTCATGAAATGACATACACAACAGGATCGTGAAATGGCATACACAAGGGAGTTATAAAGTGGCATACACAAGAGGATCGTGAAATGGCATACACAAGAGGAACGTGAAATGGCATATACACGGGAGTTATAAAATGTCATCTACGGGGGAGTCGTGAAATGATATATTCACGGGAGTCATTAAAAGACATATACAAGGAAGTCGTGAAATGGCATATACAAGAGGGCCGTGACATGGCATATACACGAGAGTCATGGAATGGCATATACAAGAGGGCCGTGACATGGCATATACACGAGAGTCATGGAATGGCATATACAAGAGGGCTGTCACGGTGAAATGGCATATACACGAGGGTAATGGAATGGCATATACGCGGGAGACGTTAATGTCGGGAGTGTAAGAATGCACTCATTCATTTTGTTCAGTTGAGATCATTTTAAGAAAATAAACAGAATGCTGTTGTCTGTGTGATACCTGTAATTTTGTATGGTAATGAAGACAGTTGAATATTTATTATGAATAACGTACAAGTACAGGATACTGAACAGGTAAGACTGTCGTATGGATGCATGTTAACTCCATGAATGATGTTTGTGAACTTTTGATTAAAATGTGAATTGTCTATGTAACACACCTTGTCCAATCTCCGAAAACTGGAAAATAGTTTGGTTAGTCTATCTGTACACCTACTTTACATATGATATAATTACCTATAAATAACGTATATAGAAAGCGTTAAGTGTTATTTGGTAGTAGTATTATCCCTCACCAGAATGAGTAATAATATTCCAAACTTCACCTTCACTGGCATATCCGTTTTGGTCAAATGTTTGTTCAAAATAATCAGAACATAATTTTGGTTGCCAGTGCAGATGCATAGATATCACGTACATAGTATAATACCGCCGAAGCTTGTTTTACCTTTCTGATAGTAGCGTTCACGAACAGCTTCTTAGCACGGACTAAGACATACTTGGCCCGTGCTAAGAATATGTGTGTGAACGTTCAGCACGAGCTAAGAAACACTAAGTACGGATCTGGCCCGTTTTTAAGACTAGGCCCAGATCCTTAGCACGGACTAACGGAGTGTGCGTGAACGCTTATTTCGGGCTAAGCGCCCCAAACACTATTGTGTTCAATGTTCATTCGGAAGATTTACTATTATATTCATATCTATTCTTTTCGGTATGCAATTTCCGAAACGACAATCACCGCGATAACATCAAGAGATATTGTTCTCGAGAAAAAAAAACTGATGATGGGACTCTGTGCTACTTCCTGTTATTCTGCAATCAGTACTTTCTGTAGAACTACTATCTTACTAGTTATTGTACTGAGTAATCATACTTAAAATGACTGAAGATTTTTGTATATTCTTAACACGTTTGGGCGTTCCATAGCCCGTGCTAACCACAGTTCTCTCCCGTACGTGAACGCAATTTGTCTATCCGATATGCAAACATATGAGATTAGCTTAAAGGGCGGCAGTCGTGCTGTTCGATATAGGACTCATAGCGACGTATACAACGCGTGTAAAATACATTGTTTATTTACATGAAATTCGAACACGCGCTTCGTGCAGCGAACACTACTAAAGTTATCAACATCAGTCTTTGTAAATTAGTTGTTTACTGATTTAAAAATAACTAAATAGACAAATCACTCTATTAAATGTGAAAGTATTCGACACATTAACTGCATGTGTAAAATAACCCTGATTTTGAAGTTTGTACGTTGTCGTTTACGGTACGGATAAAGAATGACCTTCTTAGTGGGACATGGCCCCGGGAAATGTTCCTGAATGAGCGCCGCCAAACGACAACATGGTTCTAAATGGGGAATCCCCAGATAACATTCAGTAGAATTAATCACGTGATCAACGCGGAAGTGGGCTACAATATTGCACAACAAAGGTAAGATTGTTAATTTAAACTTCATGGTAGAAAAAAGGTGCTGTACTTCAAAACACGGTCAGTTTATGCATATGGCATAAATATACAGGATATATGATTGATAGAACGTTACATTCATAGACAATCACGCTCGGCTTCTAGTATTTGTTTTTATAGCGAGGCCGGGAGTGCGATGCATTCAGGTAACCAGGAACTGTGCTTGTTATCTCGTACTCAACGTAGTGCGTCCATGTATGGGTCATGTGACGTTAAGTCAACTGAAATGATTGGTTCGTACGGAAGCGCCATATTGTTTTTTTTTTTATTTATAGTGATTTAATTATGACGGAAATACCCAAATAACTATTTGAGTATTTGTTAGTCGGCACAGTTGTCTTGGATTGTGATGAGTTCACCCACCACTTTCTGCTTTCGATAAATTGACCATTCAACTGAAAAACAGAATACCCAAACAAACGTAAATAAAAACCAATTAATCACACTTATACAAACATTGTTACAAAAAAGGGCAATTATGGCGTAGTTGCTTTACTTACAATGTTCCCGTCTCTTGTTAAATGCTGGAAGTGACCTTTGGTCAGTGATCTTTAAACTAGAGACATGTACACATGTTTGACCTTTGATCTGCTCAACGTTTGTACCAGAAATTTGCATTTCTTTATGAATTGATTTTCTCTTGAAATAACATAAATGATCCCAAAACACCCAGGTACCCTACATGACAAGTTTGGCCGGGAAAATAGATTAATAAATGTTAATTAATAAATGTTATTCCCTTGTACAATCTACATTCACAGGAGTACACAATGGGAAATGAATCGAGTAGACTTGATAAAAAGGAGAGTTCAACGAGAGGTGGTGAAGTTGCCACGAGTTTTGAAAGAGCATTAACGGAGGCACTGCGCGAGATTATCGAAGACTGCCAAGATTCAACAAGTGTTACCCCAGAACAAATACAACACGGATGGGACCCCGCGGATTGTTCTGCGAACATGGCAGTCTTAGAAGACGGAGTAACAGCACGACGAAGCACACGATCCATGCAAACTGATGCCATTAGAGGAAAAAAAGGATATCGTTCAGGGACTCATACATTTGAGTTTAAATGTATTAGCCGTGAACGAGGTTCACATGCCATGGTTGGCATAGCTACGCCCGACGCTCCACTGAGCTGCGATGGCTACTCCAATTTACTGGGCTCCACAAGCGCATCTTGGGGGTGGAACCTTACAGATAGAAACCTTGTTCACAACGGTAAAGTGATTGGTAAATATCCACCCAAATCAAATTACTCTGTACCAGATACATTTTACGCCATTCTGAATGCCGACAAAGGAATTCTCAGGTGCGTATTGCAATTATTCCCCTTTCTTGGAAGGGATCGCTCAGGCAATGCATGGCTACCAATCCTAAAACGGGTTTTCAGTTTTATCCTTATGTATATGAATAATGGTATTGTAATCTCTGCTGACATGGTTAACGCAATTGCTCCATATGTTCCATATAAGAGCTCAGCAGCGAGATGTCAGTCCAAGAAAGTCGAACGACATGGGACAATGACACATACTTTCATTGGCCCGTTTAAAAAAAACGCAATTCTGAGGCTATTACATGTAATACATTATAAACCAGTATGTCACCTGTTTTAAATATTGAAGTGTTTAAAATATCCTCAACCATGTAAGATCCCACTCAAACAAATCACCAAAACCAAATTTTGAAATATTGCCATACCGATTTGCCCCAAACCATAGACCGTAGAGAAGGTCTATGCCCAAACAGGCAAAACTTGCTATTTTCACCCTCTTTTAACCGAATACGGTAACCCTATATGTTTATTACATTTTTGTCTTCCTGGAGAACTATGAAATAATTACATTACTTTTATCGATTTCACTACATTCACAATTCTTCATCTTATTGTGTGGTTTAACGATTACCAAAGCTTAAAATTCTACAATAAATAAATATTACATTGAAATTAAACTAAATATAAAAAAAAAACTTGAGAAAAAATGAGAAATAAAACAAGAATGATATTTTGTTATTATTTGTTTTTCTAGCTTCAAGGCTAATGACGAAGACCTGGGCGTGGCGTTCAATGACCTGCCACGGCAGAATCTATTGAAACCACTTTGTGTTGCCACCTGTGCATCAAAAGACAGTTGTGACATTCGAATGAAGTACATGGGATGTAGTGGTAAGAAATACTTTCGAAACAGTAAGATGACGATAGTGCCGTTATTACAAGTTATAACAATAACTTTCATAGTTACGATTATGGAGGTACAAATGAAATTTACGACACATGTTTCATGTCATTGTATATTGCAGGAAAAATCACCCAGTTCAGCGAGACTGGCGAACAAGTTGTATCGACTGTCGCACCAACTGGCCGTACTTACTACACTCTGCACCCAAATTGCGGAGATAATATACAACTCATGCACAATGGACGCGTCGCAAAACGACAAAAGTTAGTATAAAACAGTGTAATAACGTTCCATATCTCCATACCAGGCATGTAATGAAAATCTAGGTTGAGTGGTCAATAGAGGGAATGGTACTATTTCAAAAGTTGATGGTAGTTATATGTGTGTTTGTAATATAAACTCGCCCGATTCCTCTAACTGTAAGTTCGTGGCATTTCTGGCAACATGTATAAAGGCTATGGATTAATTTTAACTCCAGAAATAGAAATGTTACCAATACATTGTGTCGTAAATTTTATTTTTCCTAAAGGCTACACTCGTTCAAGCTGAAACCCTTTGTGTCAGCAAAATTTGTCCCTCAAAATGCAGGAAATAGCGTTTCAGAGGGTCTAGATTTCCGGTAAGGTAAGGTAAGGTAGTGAGCAGACGCACCCTCCATTGTAAAAATTTCGTACCACCGCCTCTGTTCGAATAGACCTAGCTCATAAATCCGACTTGGTCACTTAATGCATTTTTTGTATG